AGAATGGCTGCACAGTTTCCAGAGAGGGCCGGGGCTTCCCATCTGCACCTCTGACACACACACACACACACACACACACACACACACACACACACGTCAGTTGAGGGCTGCGTCTCCCCCCAGGAAGCCCAATGACGGTAATTACTTCTTCCTTCTCAGTTCCATCCGAGGCCTGATGTTGAATTGAGTTAGAAAAGTTTCCCGCCTCTGGAATAAGACTCCCCGAAGGCACAAGCCACCTGTCCAACCCTTCCCGTCCCAAAGCGCTTTTTTTTCTTTAATTAAAAAATTGGATTCTTGTCGGAGAAAATTCAAAGTCTCAACAAAGGAGTGGTTACACACACAAAATGTGGTCCATGTGCACCGCGGAATACCACTCAGCCCTGGTGACGCCGTGGTTACTCACCGCAAGGCCAGCAGTTCTAAGCCACCAGCTGCTCCCAAGGAGAAAGATGAGGCTTTCTACTCCAGGAAAGAGTTAGACAGGCTGGGAACCCAGGGGCAGTTCTGCCCTGTCCTACAAGGGCCGCTGTGAGTCCACTCGACGCAATGGCCGTGAGTTTGGTGAGGGGTTGGCGAAGAGAGATGCAGCGCAGATAGAGGCATGGTGACCCGTGAAAGCATCGTGCCGCGTATGCCGGTGAGCCGCAAAGGGCTCACCGTGGAGGCGCCCACTGAGATGAAATGCCTAAGACCAAAGGGGGTCGCCAGGAGCTGGCGGGTAGTTGCCGCCTAAGGCGCACTGCCTCCCTGTCTGGGGCGAGACGGTTTGGGAGATGGACGGGGTGAATGCATGTAATCAGTGTCCCTGAACAGCACACCGAAAAATGGTTGAATCCAGCCAAGGGGCTTTGTTACCTACATCGTGCTTGTCTATCTGTATCTATCTGTCTATCTGTATGTGTATGTTTTAACAGAGAAGATCATGGAAAGGGAACCCCTCTGCGGCGCGTGGCTGCTGGGGCACAGAGAGATGTCGGGGCCGGGATCCACGGCTTCACTCTGAAGTTTTAAAATGAAGGTGTCTAGCAGGGTGTGCTGGGGAAGAAATAATCCCGTCAGTAGCTCGTTGTGTACCAGCGAGCTCCTAAAAGGTCCAAGGTGACTTAAAAAACAAAGCAAGGGCACTGTGCACACACCCGCGGTCGGGCTTCCTTTCTTGAGTGCATCCGTCACAGGAGCGCTGCATGTCAAGAGCAGAAATTGATCTCTCGCATTTTGTAGGCTGGACGGTGACATTGGGGCCACCAGTTCTGGGTGACGGGCTTATCTCTTCTGGCTTCTGTTCCCCGGTCCCTTAGCCAGCTTCCTGTGGCTTCCCTGGTCCCCAAGTCTGTGCCTCTTGTCTCTGTCTCTGCTGCTCACTAGTGTGCACAGCTGGGGGAGGGGGGGCTGTGGAATGGGGGCCCTGGTGGCTCCGCAGGGTCTGTGGTTCAAGGCCCCCGCCGCCCTGCCTGTTTCCCTCTGGCCGGCATGGGGCTTAGCTTTCGGTTACTGGACAGTGAACCAGTGAAACAAGCACACGGTCTGTACTGCTTCACAGGTGAGACAGTGGACCCTGCAGGTACCTGCCAGGTTCCCGTGATGAAGGACAGGCCTCGGCCTTGTCCCGCAGCCTCCAATTCTTAGCCCTGGACAGGACAGAGGAATGGCCCTGGACCTTAAACACACACCCCTCCGCAGACCCGGCTGGGCCTCCTAAGGCCTAGCTTCCCGTTAGAAGCAAGTGGGAGGCTCCGGAAGGTTCAAGCCAGTTCAGCCGCAGCCCAGAGGGTGGGCCACGGCGGCCTGGGAGGAGTAAGTGCCAGAGCCAAGAAGCATAAGAGAACCTTCTTGCCCCTCTGCTCGGGCTCCTGGCATGAAACTGCCCCTCGAACGCCCTCCGTGACCCTCTATGGATGCCCCTGCATGTCCCCCACCCCTTGACCTTAAGTCCATGAGCCCCAGTGGCAGAGTGAGCTACCCCCCCGGGCTGATAACCACCAAGTCAGCAGTTTGAAACCTCCAGCCAGTCTTTGGGGGAAAGTATGAGGCTCCCTACTCCCATAAACAGGGACAGCCTCAGAGGCCCACAGGGGCAGGTCTTCTCTGTCCTAGAGGGTCTCTGAGTTGGAGTTTGCTTGTCCGTCTACCCTAGTGAGTGCTCCGAGAGAAAGGGTGGCCGTGAAGATAAGGCAGACGGTCAGCAGCTCGGACGCCTAGCAAACCCATGGGATGCAGTAGGACTGCCCCGGGGGTTTGGAAGACGGAGCTCTGTGTGGAGGCCGACTGCCACACCTGTCCCCCCTGCCGCAGTGAGTGGGTTCTGGTGGGCTCAAACCTCAGCTGAGGGCTGAAGCCCGGCACTACCAGGGCCCCTCGTTTCCTCGTCAAGCCCAAGAACGAGTAAACACACTCACTTCCCTGCCATCAACTGACTCCCCGTGATCCTGTCGGACAGAGCAGCACTGCCCCTGCGAGCCCTTGGCGGGAGCGCAGAGCCCCATCTTTCTGCCGAGGAGCAGCAGGGGGCTTCGAGCTGCTGACCTTGCAGTTAGCAGTCCGGCGTGTGAGCACTACCCCGCCAGGACTCCGTATCACATAAAAGAGTAATGCTGCCTCCATGCGTGTGGCAAAGGGGCGTCCACTGTGTGTCCCCTGCGTTGTCAGTCTGCTAGCCTTCCTGGGACTGGGTTGTCCCCGAGTCAGATGTTCATAACCCAGGACTGCCCGCGTAGGCCACGGCTGTGTTACGCATTGGAGCGAGCACATAGCACACAGCGGCGGTGTCTCTCAACCCAGTTGCATTCTGGTCCTCCCAAGATGCCTGCTTCTCCGTTACCCCACAGATAACACCACGTGGCTCTCTCTGTGCGCTGGTGCCTCCCTCCACCCCACCACAGGGCCAGCGTGTGCCGGGGGGCCACTGTCTACACTGGGAGCAGAGCTTCATTGGACAGCAGTCTCTGGGATTCCTGGCGGGACGGGACACAAGTGGAGGAAAGCTGTCCCAAGCACAGCTGACAGGAGAGCTGCCCGCGCGTGCGTCTAGGAAGCCCTGTGTCAGAAGACTCGGACTCCGGGCCCAGCCAAGCCCAGGAAGAGCCGAGGGAGGAAGGCCTGTGGGTCTTGGACGAGATGGCTAGCGGAGGAGGGCCAGGGCATTGAAGCCCATGCTGCCTGTGAGTCAGAACCCACCGTGTGACGCCTCTCACCGACTCTTTCTTCCCCCTTTTCCCTTTGTCTGCCAGGAAGCATCCAGGCTGTGGGAACCTCGTGACATTTTCCCAGTTTCTGTTTATCGCCGTGGAAGGCTTCCTCCGTGAGGCGGATCTGGGAAGAAAGCGGCCAGCCATCCCTGTGAGGTACAGCTCCTCCCGGCCAGCCGGCCGGCTTCCGTCCTTAAGAAGAGCAGTTTGGGGACCTGTGTTCAGGGCAAGTGAGGCAACTTCTATAAAATGCACGCAAGAGCGCTCAGGGTCATGGTTCATTTCTGAAAGTATTCCTTACGAACCTCCAGGGATCCTATTTTCCGGATAAAGCTCTTACCACAACACTTGTATGAACTATGATGGAGATAACTGTGTGTGTGTGTGTGTGTGTGTGTGTGTGTGTGTGTGTGTGTGTACGTACACGCTGCACATTGGAATGGGTCCCAGGATTAAAGTGTTAAGGGAACAGGGGCACCTTCTCGGTCTGTGGGTTTGCTCACCGTCACTGTCAGTCCCTTAGAGCTGACTCCTGAGACCTTCCGGTTCCCATGGTTTTCAGCCCTTTCCCATAAACCATCTCTGGGGAACTAAGAGTTTGGGAAATCTCCTTTGGAAATGCCCTTCCAGGTATTCCAGAGCTGTCTGTCGTCAGTGGCGGATAGACCACCACACAGCTCCGCCCAGGCCCCTGGCCTCCTGCTGCCCTGGAGCGAGTCTGTGACACCCATGAGCCTGCTTACCGAGGGGCCAACACTGAGGACATGGTGCGTGACATCACCAGGAAGCCTTGCTTCGATCCCATGGGAGATAACTCCTTTCTGGAATCGTTGAGCTTCCAACGAGCTGAAAATACCCCTATGGCTGAGATCATCTTGTCTCCTCTTTGGCTCTGAAGCTAGAAAATGTGAAACCATCTTAGTAACTCAGCACTTGCAAAGACCCCGGGATGTCGGAATTCAGCTTCCGGGGGGATGTCTCATTCTGCTTTGCGGCTGCATGAAAATGTTGGCGTTTCGCTGGTTTGGAGGGCTTAGGTGGAATCCTAGGACATTCCTGATCTGCCCCCGCTTTGGACCAATCGACCCTGGCAAGTTTCTACGATTCAGCTTAGTGTCTATGAGAAGCTTCCTGTGGCTTTTCTAGCTCCAAGAGGGGCATGCAGATGTCTACTCGGTAATTCCTTTCTGCGCTGATGGCTCCCTGCGTTCACTCAGAATCTTGCCAGGTTACGGGGGCTTTGTTTTCATTTGTCTTCCCAGACCCAGCCGCTTCACACAGACCCCGGGGTCAGGTGCAAACCTTTTTACCAGTCAAGGGCTGCCCTCGCTGTTTCCAACGCCCCCAGGCAGAGTGTGGGCCAGTGCTGGGCTCGAAGCCTTGGCAGGTCTTTCTTTAGAGACAGTGGAAACTAAACACAATAACCAGTGCTCGGAAGGACCCGTTTGAGGGAGTGCACCATTTTCAGGTGTTCCAGAGGTCTAGGAACATTAAATACAGAGAATTGTACATTAAGAAACAATTACCTGTTTGCCTTAAACAAAAAACAAAGGAAAGCTGTTCATGAAAAGTAATTAATTAGTTAGCTGATCACAAGTAGTGCCAGGTACACCACGGGGACGGCTGCTGTGGATGCTGTCTTTCTGGCCCTGGGTGGTGACCTGGGCGGTTACTTTCTGAAAGTGGATGGGGCTGTGTCACTGTGTGACCTCCCACCATGGACACAAAACCTGGCTGTCACTGGGCACTATGAGGCCACCACGTGGGGCAGCTCACTGCAAGGGGAGCAGGTCAAAGCCACCAGCCCCTGCTCGGGTGAAAGATAGGGCTCCGTCTAGTAGAGTCTTGGAACCGCACAGGAGCGGTTCCACCCTGTCCCGAGGGTCTCTGTGAGTCGGCATCGACTCGGTGGCGGGGAATTTTGGGTTTGGTACTTCAAAGATAACTCCTCTTTCCTGAGACACACACTCTGCACGCCCAGCGACGCCCACGCTAGTCTGACTCGTAAAGGGCTTTCATGTGTGCTTGGCCTTCAAGGAGCCCAGGTGGTGCAGTGGTTAAGCACCCGGCTGTTAAGGAGAAGGTCATTGGTTCGAACCCACCCAGTGGGTTCATGGGAGAAAAACCTGGCAGGCAGTGCTAGTAAAGCGTCTGGCCTAGAAAGCCAGATGGCCGTGTGAGTGTTACTCTGTCGCTGTGAGACTCAACAGTGGCCAGGATTGGGCTTCCCGTGGTCCAGTCCTGTGGGACGGTGAAGTTACTGCAGTACTTGGTTTTCACGGAAGCGGGTGTGGCATCTTGCCGCGAGTCTTCGACACTGTGTGACCTGTCCCCTTGCCCTCTAGGCACTACGCCGTGATGGTCACCATGTTCTTCACTGTCAGCGTGGTCAACAACTATGCCCTGAACCTCAACATCGCCATGCCGTTGCACATGATCTTCAGATCGGTGAGTGCCACAGTGGACAGAGCCCCTCCCCCCCCAAAGATACCCACCCCAAGGAGGTGGATGGATGAGCCAAGTCTAGGCTCCAAGGACCAGAGTGTAGGGTGCAGGTGGGGGCTCTCTAAGGGGCTCTTCTACCTCAGCTCGCAGGAGCGATTCCGAAAAGGACAACGACAACTTCCCTTGGAAATAGCTAGTGCAGCAGTGCTCAACCTGTGGGTCTCGACCCCTTCACAGGGGTCGCCCGATTCATAACAGTAGCAAAATGACAGTGATGAAGTGGCAATGGAAAAATTGGATGGTTGGGGGTCACCACCACATGACACGCTATGAAAGGGTTGCGGCGTGAGGAAGGTGGAGCACCGCTGAGCTAGCACCTTCCAGCCGTCCATCCGTTGGTTCACTGCGACTCTTCCTTAACTTCTTCCTGCTCCCTTTTGGCCTCTGCCGTAGAATTCGGTTTGCTTCCCGGTTTGATTTAAGCACCTTGAGATCAGGAAACCAGGGGGAGCTCTTGCCAAAGAGTTTGCTCCCCACACACCCGTGGGGGTCTCCTCCTCTGCCTCGTGCATGGTGGGCGGTCTACGTGCAGTGGGTCGGCAGGGCCATGGGAGAAAGACATGTTTCCTGAAAGATAGGACAGACCTCCCGGGGACTGCGGTTGGGATGGTAGAAGGCTACGTGGCACAAGGCAATGGAGCCAGAACAGCGCGGCATGTCTGGGATGGTCGTGAGCGAGCTGTGCTGTTCCCAGAGGGCCAGTTCTCCTGACTGAGATGACCGGGAGAGTAAGCTCCCAGAAAGACCTGCTTGGGGTGGGCGGCTTCCTGAGAATGGCTTCTCTCACTGCAGCTGGGTGGGGTGGCACTTACTGAAAGCAGTTATGAACAAGTTAGATGGAAAATCTGACACGCCCCCCCACCCCCACCCCCAAATCAGTCTGTTACCTAATGTGCCCCTGCAGCCCTAGCCAGAACCAATGATCGAGAGCTGGCGGCCTGGCAATTAAAGTGCTCGGCTGCTGACGAAAAGGCCCTTGGGTTGAACCCCCGGTGGCTCTGAGAGAGGACAATGTGGCCTTGGCGACACGGGTCCTGGACACAGTGGCAGTGGGCCGGTCATCTTGAGGAGGTCTTGTTGACTCCCGTGATCCGTTTGCGTGGCTTGCACTCCTGGCTGTCTTAAGAACCGCCGACCTTTCCTGAGTTTAGCCATCACCTCCTCCTTCCCAGCGACGTCCCTCCCTCCTTTGCCCTCGATCCCATTCACTGGGAGTCACGTGGCTCTCTCTCCCTGGTGCCCTGACTTCCCGCGTCCCTTCTCTCCCTCCAGGGCTCTCTGATCGCCAACATGATCCTAGGAATTGTCATTTTGAAGAAGAGGTAAGCGCACCATTCTTCCCCGTGGTACATTTTGGGCTGCCGGCCCAAACCAGCATCACCAGCTGGTGGTCCGAGTGCCTTCTCCCCAGAGTGGGGAGTTTCCTCTGTGACCAGTGAGACACACATCTCTGAGCCACGGGGTAAGAGGCCCCACCTGTGACTTGGTGACCAGTATTGGCTGGGCGTAGATCTGACCAGCCCCTGGCATCCTTGGACCTGTCATACTGTGCTCACCTAACAGACCAACTCACCTAGAATCTCAAGGTCCCGTCTGGGAGTGGGCTGTCTGTGTTGTGCTGATGCGGGGATTCCTGCAGGCTATATCTTCAATCAGACTCTTATCAGGGATGAAACACGGGAACAGAGAAGCCATGCCAGAGCCAGCATGGGGCGCAAGCCTTGCCCTGGGTCCAGCATCTTGCACCTGAACTTCTAGCCCCTCAGCTGGGAGAGAATAAATTGCTGTTGGTGAAAGCCATTGACTTGCGGAAGTTAGGTTATGCGCCTAAAGGCCAAGAGGAGGGGTGGAAGGTTCTAGAAAAGTTCTTTGTGATGCCATCACTGTTGGTCCTCTTGGGCAGGTGCCTGCGGTCCTTTTTCTAAGTCTGTGTCTTCCCCCGTCGTTGGGAGCCTCATCCTCACTGCCAAGGAGGAGAGGAGGGCTCTGCACATTTGAAGAGCGTGGGGCATTGCTCAGGGGACGGTCCCCATCACCAGTAAGGCCCCAGTTGTTCAAGTGGATGCCAGCTCTCCAGCAGAGCCCAGCGCCAGCCCTGGTTTTGTTACTCGGTGGTAATTTAGACAGTTCCCTCTCAACCCAGAGGGCAAGAGCCCAGTCCTATTGGCACTGTTATTAGAAGGACGCTTGTCCTGCCTGACCAGGCTCCATGTCACAGACGTTTTCTGTCCCAAGGTGTCTGTCCCCCAGGCCAGGATCCTTGTCCTAGACGTCTGTCTTGTAGCTTCTCTGCTTTTAAGCAGGTGGAAGAAGGGGCTTCAAAAAGTTTGTGGGCAAATGGAGTGAAAAGATAATGGAATTCCACAAACGCTGTGAAGCCCGCTTGTGTGAAATGTGCAGGCTGGTTACGTTGGAAGCGACCATCGGTTTCCTGGTAGCATTGGCATGACCAGTTCACCACCTTGGGACATACCTGTGGCCCTTCCAACGGCATCCAGAGAAACGTGGTGCAGAAGGTGCTGTGTTCTGAAAGTCGCCCCAGGGACGCAGGGCCTTTCGCAAGTACCTCTGGCCCCCTAAGAACTGGTGTTGGGTCTCATCTCGAATCCGTCGACGCCTCTTGGGACCCTCTTCAGCGTGTGTCGCCAGTTCATGATCTCTCATGGACTGAGAGAGGCACTCACTTTCTGAGCCCTGGTGGTGAAGTGGTTACGCATTTGGCTAACCCCAAGGTCAGCAGTTTGAAACCACCAGCTGCTCTGAGGGACAAAGAGGAGGCTTTCTACGCCTGTAAAGAGTTGCTGTCTCAGATCTACGGGGCCGTGCTCCCCTGCCTGCAGGCGTGCTAGGAGTCAGCATTGACTCAAAGGAAGGCAGTGAGTGAGCCCGGTTTGTTCTTTGGGGCCCAGGTTGGTCCCGAGTGTTTGAGTGGAAAACCCCATGTGGGTCTTCCTGCGAGCTGTGTTTCTTTTCATTCTCCCCTGTGGCCCTCGGCTCGGCCACCGAGATTCTGAGAGGGCTGCTGCTTTGGTTAATGAAGAACACCAGTGAGAGTTCTCCAGAACATTCCTCCCTCCAACCGCACAAGCCTTGTCCTGAACAACCCCTTCCCCTGAAAAGAGTCGGTTGAAGTGTATCCTGCTGCTTGACTCCAGTACTCTGTCTCCTGAGACTCCCGTCTGCCACCCCCCACGACCAGAAGCCCAGGGGCTCCCAGTTAAGGTTTTGATTTGGATGGACACTTGGGAACCAAATGGAATGTCATATCCGGTTGGTTTCAATTTTGTTGTTGGATGAAGCCAACTCTTAGCCAACAACTGACGAGAAGCTGTTTCTGAATGACCCCAGGGGTGTGTGTGACCGAGAATAGGCCGGCGTCTTGACCTGCTGCCTCCTGTGGACGCGGACGGGGCCCAGGGGTTCGGACAGTCGTGTGTGCAGTGATTCCTACTCCTGTGGATTCTGACTGTACAGACGACGTAGACCTCGGCATCTGTGGGTCCTTACGGCGCTTTGCTCTTCTCCCTGCAGATACAGCGTGTTCAAGTACACCTCCATCTCCCTGGTGTCTGTGGGGATATTCATTTGCACTTTCATGTCAGCCAAGCAAGTGGTAAGAATGAGTCTGCACACCATGCTCTCTGCTCACCTCTGCCATGCATATAACACAGGGAGTCCAGCCTCAGCCTCTAAGAGATGGGGCAGGAAATGAACACACACACCCTTGGCCCCTCACCCTCCGCCCCCCAAGCATCTTGCATGACCATCTGATCCCTGCCTGTCATGTTGTCCCTTTTTTCCTAGACATCCCAGACCAGCGTGAGCGAGGATGACGGCATCCAGGCGTTTGCATGGTGGTTACTAGGCAAGTGCAGTAATTACAGCGCAGCTCGTGGCTCCTGCAGCCCTGTTTGCCCAGCTGTCTCCTAAGGGCCACGTTTCTCAGCAAGACGCTTTGGCTAAACAAATTAGACCGGGGAGGAGAGGGCCTCCCGAGAGCATGTATCTCAGAACGCAAGGAGATATTTGAGAATAGAAGAAAAGAAATTGCCCACGCTCCGGGCCACATGTTATTGGTTGCCACCAGTACAGAGGCGCGTCTACGGTGCCTTCCACTGTGTGGTCTGGCCCAAGAGTAGCCACCTCTGCAGGTTAGGGCGGTGGACGTTGTGTATTCCCAAGGGACCGTCCCCAAGTCCTGGACGGACTGACGTCGTCAGTTTGCTTTTCCATGGGACAGTGTCCCCAAACCTGGCTGGTCCTCAGACTTTCCCTGCGGAAGTTTCTGAAAGTCCAGGGGGTCTCTGAGGAATGCGGTAGACCACTGTCAGAGAGCTTTGCTCTCACCTCCGGTGCGCTGAGAGGTGCACCTCTGTGCAGGTGCTGGCCCTGGAGGCAGGAGCAGGTAGAGGCTAACTGAGCAGGGAGGAGACGTGGGTGGCTTGGCTACTTTATCTTTGAAGGGTGCTACTTATCACATAGAGAAGAGCTCCTTATGGGTGCTATTTATCACATAGAGAAGAGCTCCTTACGGGCTATGGGAGACACACTTCACCAAGTAAGGAAGATTGATGGGGATATGACCATGCAGTTTAGGGGGGTATGTGTGTGTGTGAGTGTTCAGTAGTTTTATATCTGGCTCGCCCAAAGTGCAGATTGAAACATAACTACAGTCCCTTCTTATCCTTGCTCGCTCTCATTGTCGAGATCATTAGCAATTCTCCCAGTGGCAGTGATTGCAAGAGACAGCCATTCCCTTGTGAGGGGTTGACATCGGTCCAGCCTTCCTAGGGGTGGGATGGGGGTGTGTGTGGAGGTTTTCAGATGTCCACAACCTCTGACTCAAGCCATTCCACTCGGGAGAATTCATCCTAAGGAGAGATGGCAGCCTTTTGCGTATGGATTCGTGCTGAAGGCTGTGCATGGGTTTTAATCCTGAGGCCGCTGGGAACTATCCAGCTGTGCCCGGGCCATAGGACATCTAAGTGGGGGGCAGCCCCTGGCGGGGTGGGGGGTGTTGTGCAATGACATGAAGGGAAGTGCAGGAAAGAGAGAGGAACAATGAGCAAGATACAGTATATATGAGCAAGCTTGGACAAGTTCCTGGGAAAGCAGACGTGGAAGAATGGGATTTTGCACTAATTGTGTCCCAGCTCCCTCGTGTTGGACGTGACCCTCGTGGGTGTGAAAGGGATGCAGAGCTCGATAGGGAGGACGGTGAGACACTGGGTGGTGATGGCATGATGGGTCTGCTCGGGCCATGGGCGAGTGTCTGTGCCTCCCTCGGGACAGCCACTGGCCAGGGGTAAGCACCAGGTAACTGGCTCTCTGTCTCTCAGGTATCGGGGCCCTGACGTTTGCACTTCTGATGTCGGCCAGGATGGGCATCTTCCAGGAGACGCTGTATAAGCAATTTGGGAAGCACTCCAAGGAGGCTTTGTTTTATAACGTAAGGAGCACGGGCTCACACGGCACGGGGGGAGGGGTGGGGCGTCATGGAGTGGTGCCTCCTGTGAAGGTGCCACCCCTCCCGGGCAGTGGAGGAATCCCTGCAAGACCCGCAGGGTGCACCGGGACCTTAGACTGCGGGGACATGGCCGCAGGAAAGGCTGGAGGCTCCAGGGCCTTGGAAGAAAGACCTGGCAGCCTGCTTCCAAGGAGCCAGTCGCTGGGAGCCCTGCGGAGCAGCTCTGCTCGACAGGGTGAGGCCACCGGCACTGACCTGGCGGCAGCCGGTTGGCCAGGGTGCCTTCTGAGCCACCAGATGGGTCCCATGGTCCCATGACCAGTGACGGATGTTTCTTAGCCAGGGTCATGAGTCTTAGCCAGGGGCAACCCCAAGAGACAAGGAGCTTCCACCTCCACATTCCCATCAGTAGGAATGGGGTAGCACTGCTGTGGGAGCCTGGGATGGGGTGGGTGGTTTGAGAGGGGGTGTCGGGGGAGGGTCTGGCCCTGGACCCTACCCTCCTCCACTAGTCCGGTCAGCCTTCCACCCTCCCTCTTGCCCACCAGGCTGAGCCTCTAATCCTTTGTACTGAGGTTGCAAACAAGCGGTTTGAGATGGTGGATTGGCGCGAAAACAAAGGCGCATTCTCGTTGGCTCACCTCTCTTTGCCAGAGCAGAGCTTGATGCAAAGTAACTGAGCTGTCAGTTACCGCCATGGGGGTAGGGAGAGGCGGGGGAGGCTGCTCCTGAGTGCGTCCATCCCTGTCCACACATTTCCTCTTCCTGCCTGCTCCCCAGACCTCATGCTCATCCTCATCCTCAAATCTTTTCCCTCGAGTCTCCTAAACTCCGTGAAATGTGCCTTTCACGAACCTCCTAATTATTCAGTCCTAATATTCCCCCCCCCCATTATTAATTCTAAATAAAAATGAGGCCTAACTGTTGCGTCCTGTGTTCCCTGTGAGTCGGTACCGACTATGGCGGTGGGTTTGGTTTGGTTTTGTTGATGCTCGCCCAGGGAGCCCTGGTGGCGGCGTGGTTTCTCATTAGACTCCCAACCTCAAGGTCGGCAGTTCAAAGCCAGCAGCCTCTCCAAGGGAGAAAGATGAGACTTCCTGTTCCCGGAAGGAGTCACTGTCGTGGAAATCCGTGGGGCAGTTCTACCCTGTCCAGCAGGGTTGTTGTGGGTTGGTCTTGACTTGACAGCATTGGGTCAGGTGTCCGCTTAGCGTTTCCGTGATAGTGAAGTGCAGCCAGTCCTCAGGGCAGGAGTGCCGTGATTGCCCTGTGCCCCCCACCCCACCCGCTCCTGTGCTTGGCGACAGGCAGCAGACCCCAAGGGCGAGAACTGCAGCCGGGCCTCAGTATACCTAGGTGGCATCTCCAAGAGGTGGGCAGTTTGCACTCACCCGGAGGCAAGTGCTTCGGAAGAAAGGCCTGGCAACTGTGTTTGAAAGGCTGCAGCCACGAGAGCCTCGCAGGGGCCACCGAGTAGCCGTGGGTCAGATGTGACTGGTCACCAGAAGCACTGGTTGCCCGCCACAGACACTTCCGCTGGCTTGTCACAAACAGCATGGCCGAGCGAGTGTGTCTGACGTCTGGTCTTACAGCTCGTGTGCCATCTCTCCCTCCTTGCAGCACGCCCTCCCACTGCCCGGCTTCCTCTTCTTGGCTTCGGACATCTACAGTCACGCGCTGCTGTTCAACAAGTCTGGTGAGTGGGGGCTCGGCATGGGCCGGCCGGCTGGGGCTTTGCTGAGGCGGGGTCTCCACCGGATGGACGCCGAGCCGCTGGGCTTTCCAGGCTCTGAACCAAACCGCCCGCCCTTCTTGAAACAGGCCCCTGTCTGCCTACCTCTCTCTCAGGAAGGGACTGCTGCCATCGTAATCGTAGCAGCGAGAAAACCCTGTTCCAGAGCCTTCTGCATTACCTTCTGTGGAATGTGTGGAGTTTGAGAGTGCAGCCGAGTGGGAGTAGTGCACCGTGAGGATCTTGTGGGACAGCAGGCCAGTTCTCTGCCCCCTTCCCCTCTCTGCCAGAGCTGCCCCGGCTCGCCGGGGCCCTAGAGCTGCCTGGTTGGGGCAGGAGCGGGAGCATACGTGATCATTTCTCTCCGGCCCCAACCAGCCAGGCTGGGTGTCTGCAGTCATTTCACATGACTGCTAGAAGGCAGGCATTACCAGCTAAGGTGACTGGACAGCGCATTACTGTCCACTGGCCTGCAAGCAGTTAACTGACGTGGCCTGGTTACTGACCAATAGAGATAGAGCATCACCCGGCAGAAGAACACACAGGCCCCAAGAGTCATGGGTGACGGCGAGGCTCACAGTGCATCACCTGGAGTGCTGGCCAGGCAGGGCCTGCGTTCACAGGTGACTGTTCTCTGCCTGAGGGAAGCTCTGCGCATCGTGGCCCTGCTCCCACCTGCAGCAAGAGGGGCTTCAGGGAACGGCCACTTCCAGAGCTTGCTTACAGCCCAGTCTCCCCTCAGGAAGGGACAACTGCAGAGACGTTAACCCACCTGCGGTCCTGTGCGCGCTAGAAATTCGGTCACAGGTTGAGCATTTTGCCGTGGTCTGCTCTTGGGTGCAGGAATCCGTGTGTTGAAAGAGAGGTAGCCACCGGTAGATGAATGTAGGGTCGGGAACACTTACGTCCGCGGAGCAGAAAAGGCCTCTTGAGATACAAGTGAAATCCCCATCGCGTGGCCCCTGTCTCGTGCTGTTGGGCATCTGGATGGATCCACAGTCTCTCCATCAAATAAGGAGTATGGCCAAGAATGCAGGACCTTCCACAATCGATTCCTAGTAATGGACGGGAACGTTGTTGTGGCCCTTGATGAGTGTTGAGGAATTAATTTGGAAAAGGAATAGGCCAGCTGGGCGACTGCAGTCCCCCTTCCACCTTGTCAGAACCGGACCAAGGACACGGTCTGTACATGCTAACGCCGACCAGACCGAGGGCACGGTCCGTACATGCTAACGCCGACCGGACCGAGGGCACGGTCCGTACATGCTAACGCCGACCGGACCGAGGGCACGGTCCGTACATGCTAACGCCGACCGGACCGAGGGCCTGGTCCGTACATGCTAACGCCGACCGGACCGAGGGCACGGTCCGT